AGGAGGAGGAGGAGGAGAAGAAGAAGAAGAAGAAGAAGAAGAAGAAGAAGAAGAGAAAAAGAAGAAGAAGAAGAGGTAGAAGGGGGAGTAGGAGGAGGGGGAGGAGGACAACGAAGATGATGAAGAGGGAGAAGAGAAAGATGGGGAGGAAAATTATATTTGGAAAATAAATCAAAATCCTTACATTTTATGAGAAGACTTGGGGTGTATATATATGGCTGACACAGTATCCTGTCTACTGACCGTGTCTGCAACCTGAAACACATTGACAGACATATTATTGGCAAGCTGTTCAAATGGTCGCTTTTAAGCACAAGGGGGCTATCCCGAAAAATACAGTCTTGAGAAAATCGAAGGTAAAGTTTTTGAACCCTTATTCAGTTTCTTTAAAAGACAAGGAGTGTTTCCTCTAAAAATAAGCAAATACAAACCCCAATGAAACCAAACTTCTCCTATAGTTAGGGCAATGCCCACTTTTGGTGTAGGTCAAAATTTCTGGTAACCTCCGAAATCTGGGTTAGTCCACTTGTTCTTAAAAGTGACCAAATCTACCACACAAAAGGAAAATTTTACAGGAGAGAGAATATCAAAAAGTGAATGCTTTGCCGCTATATCGTTTTCGTCTCCCTAAGATATTATGTTCCTGATGAAGCTTGAATTGGTGATTGGTGAACCGTCAAACATTTCATCAAATATACTTAACTTTACATAAGTCTCCAGTATTTTTTTTTTCTGCTGTAAAATAAAGAGCGTAGAGTCATGATAATAATAACAAAGACCACTTATATAGTGCCCCCTCCCCGGTGGCTCTAGGTGCTTCATAAATTAAATTAAAGTAATTTTTTTAAAAATATTTGGCAGCTAACACAATGACACGTTTCATGCATACTGGCCCATTCAGCGTACGACCGTCTTTTCAAATACATACATAGGGTAATCGGAATACATCAAATAGTGAATACATTACAGTGGTGTTGGTGGTTTAAGTGGTTAGGCTGCTAGGCTCACAGCCCGAAGGTCATGGGCTCGAACCCCATCAGGGGCCTGACGTTCATTGTGTCTTTGAGAAAAGTACTTTACACAGGAAAAAAAATTTCCTCACTTCACCCAGATATAGACAGTGAAAGTTCAAGTTAGTTTGTTAGTGTTTCAGTGTTTAATCAGCAGCTTGCACTGTATGCTTCCCAGGAAGCTGAGAATTTTCTTAGTCGAGTTCTAAGGTTTGCTGAGGTAACAATATAGATTGTAAACTGCATAGAGTTTGCTGCTGAGTGGGGATATGCGTTATACAAATGCTATTTATCCTTCATCATTTGCATACCGGTACCATTGTAGTGGGTGGAATCATGCATTCATCAAAATAATGAAAATGAAAAAAGAAAACTGATGTTTTTCCACCTGTTCAGCAATTTGTATCAATTTCTAAGGTGGCCCAACACCTTCGATGTCTTTTTAAAAACTCATTTCTGTGTGGACTTTACTGAGACATGTTGATCAAAGGCACACAAAAAATGTAAATTTACAATGTTAACGGACTCTCAAGCTTTGAAAGTCACCAAACTTTGGCGGCCATTTTTTCAACAAATTTTACCTCTGACACCAGGCAATGCCATCTCCTTCAATAACCAATATCTCGACTTCTATTCTAGATGGGTATTTTTTTTTCATCAAAAACAAGACAAATGAAGAAACTTCAAAATTATACAAATAACTGCGGGCGCCCAAAAATTGACAAGTGCAAGATTCCACCGTGTCGAGACACATATATATTGTAAATCGTATAGAGCTTGATATTGAAAGGGGGATATACACTAGGCAAATGCTTTTTCTTATTGATCATTTATTACTATAAGAAACCCATCTCACCTGTGTGACAACTTCCCCAACGTGCTGCGAATGGTCCAGGGACAGCAGAGCCACCAGAGTAACAGAGTTGTCGGAGACGGATGACAGCACACTGTCAAGGTCATCTCGCCACATCTGGCGATATCTTTCTCTCTGAGATCAGAAAAATAAGTTATTAAGTAAGGGTAAGTGTATGGGTTTAATGCCTCTATCAACATTATTAAGTTATTTATGAGGCAGGACCTCCAAATTTTATGTCCATCTCCAACAGAACTGAGTCTAAAGGGTTGAGAGCCTTGAAAATTCCGAGCCGAATTCAGGAACACCTAGTCTGGGATTTGAACCAGGGCCATCTGCTCTGTAGTCCACCATGACACCAACTGAGGCAATGGCGCACCTGATTAGAAAAGTCATGACTAAGTAATTACAGTGGAGTCCACTCAAACCGAACACAAGAATGATGATGAAATCACAAAAAAATTGAATTTTAAAAAGGACAGATTTCGATTCTTTCTCAACATTTCCTGCCATATTCCAAGTAAAACAAGAAGACATCCCTGCATGACCCGAAGAAATAAAGTGATGGAAATTAATATGATCTGTGAAATCAAATTTTTATCAGACATATCGATAAACAATTCAAGAATACTCAAGAGGTTGTTAGCCAAAATCCTACAAAAATGTTTAATCACGTCTGTCATCTTTGTGATGTCATATATCTGTGTATGGGTCTCATAGTGAGGTTGATTTTACACTGATTCAGACTAAACTGTAAATTAAAAATACATCTAATGGTCTGTCTGTCTGTCTGTCTCTCTGTCCGACTGTCTATCTGTCCATTCATCAGTCTATCCTCTGTTCGTCTGTCTGTCTGTCTGTCTGTCACTGTTTGTCTGTCAGTCCATCCATCCATCCTCTATCTGTCTGTCTGTCTGTCTGAAACGAAGTACTATCAGAATCTCTATCTGGCACCTCTAAATGAAACAAGAAAAGATATTCACCATGTCTCTGATCCACATCCGAACATCTGACTTTGCAGAAGAACCACCGTAATCAGTGAAGGATTTTGCATTTGTAAAACATCGTAGAAGAGGAAGCTCTTCATCTTTTGGCATCTGAAAATGCTTTCCATAGTTTTCCTGAAATAAATTAGTTTGAAGAAAACAGGCTATACAAACTACAATTCATGAGAAGGTACATAACATTTAACGCCTTTGATCGGGACCACCAATTATACACGAACTGCGCCCGACCGAATCGGACCACCGACGTATATTTACACGTTTACAATACCGCTCATTCAAGCCAGTCCAGGTTTATTAAAAATTATCCATGTTTTCTGACTTCTTGTTCAACACAGAAAAGTTCTTTCCCGTTCGAATTCACTGAAGTTGTAGCCAGTTTGAGTTGATTAGATGTGAAAAAATGTCTTCGAAACAAGTATTTACAAGGGATGTGGGCGGCGGCTCCGGTCCTGGGGATAAGATCAGCTGGTGTGGGGCTTGTCCTGATGGTGTTAATGTATTTACATCAGGCAAAAAACAAATATTTTATGAACAATCAACTTCAGTAAAAACCTAGAGATATATGCAAACACTTACATTGCAACGAATACCGTATATGTACATGTTATGTCCATCCAATGACTATTCCTGTGAGTGCATTTGTGTATGCAAGTGGTGTGTGTGTGTGTGTGTGTGTGCATGTGTGCGTGTGTGTGTGTGTGTATGTGTGTGTTAGTGTGTGTGTGTATGTGTGTATGTGTATGTGAGTGTGAGTTTGTGAGTGTGTTGATGTGTGCATGTGCATATATATATATATATATATATATATATATATATATATATATATATATATATATATATATGTATTTACCATGCCACACAACAAATTTCTCTTACTCTTTGAGGGAATAAATAAAACGTCATCAATCTTATCTCAAAGTGGTAACTTTTGAGAAAGTTCCCCCCAGATTTCAAACCATAAGCGCACCTCACTACATGACATAACAGTCTAGACTTCTGGCAGCACACCACAGTTCAAACCTTACATGTTCATTGACACACGGCGTAACACTGGATAACTGTTTACATTTAGTATTTAGATCATCTAGGTGGCAGGTTTCTGACTCTGCCTGTCAGGGCCAACTCGGGCTGAGAGGCATGCAACAACCCAGCAGAAGATCAAGATACTTGATTAAAATTGTCCCAACTCTTGAATTGAACTCAGGCCTCCTGCATGCAAAAGCAAAGCGCCTAACCGCTACACCACAGACACCAGTACTGGACAGTAAAAAATGCCACGCCAGTGTTCAAGCAGACTGGGAACGCACTTCATGTCTCCCACCAGACTTCCACAATGGTAGCTTGGCTGGGATGAAAATACAGTGGAGTCCACTTAAACCGAAATCTGCACAACCGGTGGATTTTCTTTTTTACATTTCGAATAGCAGAGGCAAAAAATTAGAGACTCTTTCTTTCAATTTACGGCTGTGTTCAGATTAGCAGTGTTCGGTTTAAGTGAACTCCACTGTAGTTCACTATCATTAGGTTGTAACCTTTTTATTTCTAGTGAGGAAGGCAGGTGGTTGGAGCCAGCATTAGCAAGTTGGAATTGAATTTTACTTCCATTAAGAGCAAAAGAATGTGGTCATTAAAAGGTAATTTTGAGCACACCGGATTCCCTTAGTTGGCTTAGAATCAGAACAGCAAACTCCAATCCAAGTGGTTGAGATAAAAAAGACAAAAAAGACGTTAGCTACCTCAGACGTATCAGCAACGCCAACAAGAACCTCTCTGAATTCTCTCCGGGTCCCAAGACCAATGCTGCTTCTGGCCAGTTGGACATCAAGCTGTGTCTCTGTTAAAATGCACCATTGACATAAGTTTGAGTTTGACATTTTTCAACTTTACTTTTACCAATTACCCTATCAGGGACACTGATCCCACTCTTTGTTTCTTGTCACCCTTCACTTTCTTCCACACCTCCCATAAGACATGGCTGGTGGTTAGGGGACACGACCACTAAAAAGGTCCTTATCTTTTCCTTCCCTCTGTTATATTTCTGCCTGTCAGCCTTACTTTTTTCCTGCACTAAATAGCCGTCATTGGGTAATTACACTTCTCTTCACTCAACTCACGACAAGACTGTCGTATGCATTAACCTGTGCAGGAAAGATTTTTAATTTCGCTTACATTATATTCCATTTTTAAAAAGGCTCAAATTAGAACTGAGTTTATAACTGCTCCAAAATGAGAATTATTTTCTAAAACAACCCAAAAAAAGTAATAGAACACTTAAACCTACCATCATTAATCAACAATGCACAGGTGATTTCATTGTCATTTTCTGAGACGCTTTTCCAGAGAGCACTCGTTGTAACGTAGGAAAGTTTAGCCGAACAATCTGGAAACGAAAAATGCAGACAAAGCTAAAACATAAACAAACCCTAGTCAAACTTGAACAATTCTTTCCTGCGCCTGAATATGACAAAATCTATATATGTGTCACAACATGATGGAATGCAGGCATTCAAGACATTTGCTATTGAAGAGGTACGAGACCTAGATCTAGTAAAGATAATAGCAAAAAAATGGCTGCCAAAGTTTGGTGACTTCCAAAGCTTCAGTGTCATTGAAAACAGCAAATTTGCATTTGTTTGTGCCTTTGGCAAACATTATTCCCCAGAAATCCACACAGAAATGCACTTTTATATGATAAAAATAGATTTGTTGAGCCCAAGAAAAAAAATGTGGCCAAGATAAAATTTGCTGAATGTATGAGTATGGAGAAATGTTAGTTTCTTCGATTTAATTATTTGAAAAGCCCACAATTTCACCATGATTCCACACATATGAAACCCTGAACATTGAAGTTGACTATGGACCCATAAAAATATTAGATTTAGGCCTACAAAGATAAATCAGGAATTAAAATACCAATCATGTATATCGATAACAGGTTTTAATGCTAAAATAAGCAGGATCCTGGTATCTAAACTGGAGAATCTAGTTCAATAGGCATATAGAATGTACTTTTTATTATTTAAAACAATAATTATTTGAATAGGAACATATCCATACTTCCAAAACGAAAAATTATACAATAAATTAACAAGCAATAGGCTGACGAAAGCGTTCTTGGCAACATGTTTTTCCAATGGAGTGATCTTTTCCTGAAATACATAATTATAGACGGCGCTTTTGATCATAATGGCCGATATCTGAAAAGCAATCGGACTCCGTCTCTTTCAACCGTGTTATCAGATTTTGAGTGTATTCTTTTTCCGCAGCTCTTTATTTCCTACTTTGTGCTCATGGCTTGGCATAACCATTAGCGTAAGACACTCTCATCGAAGTGACTGTCTGTTATTAGGTTTGTTTCTTACATTTTGTGACATATAATTACCTGATTAACCGAATGTGGCCAACATTATTTTGTTGTTCTACTTTTTATTATTTACACCTCAGACCCCACACCCACAACTGAGCCACTGTTTGGCTACTGAGTGTTGGAGGGTCAAGATTCCAATTATGTATTGTAGAGATAGAAGCTAGGTGAATCCTGGTCTATTGTGTATGTAAGCTTTCAAGTAATCTGATTGTGTTCACACTCGAATATCAGAGAGTAAAGGTAAAGGGAACCATGGCCAAACAAGGATGCACTTGCTGGGTCTCTGGGTCCTGTCCTCACTCGTCACTCTGTCTTTGAGTAAAAAAGTTTAAAATGCTGGATGGGAGTTTCACCCTTCCGTTCCATGGGTTACTGGGGGGGGGGGGGGGTCAGTTGCCATTGCAGTGCTTACAGCGAGCCACAATGCATAGTGCCTAGTAGTAGACAACGTTACACGGGGTGCCCACTACGGCTGGATCGGGCCAATCGCCCGACTCGATCGCCTGAAACTGAAAACAGACACATTTGTTTTTTAGGCGACCGAGTCGAGCGATCGACCGATCCCATCCGTAGTGGTCTCCCCATATTAGGAGTACGGGCCTTGGCCGATAGGTAGCAATGCCAATGGGGCTTTCCCGCGAGGTGAAAATTTGGTCCCCGTTTTCAGGCGATTTTGCGGACCCAGCCGAAGCGTAGGTGACTAACTTTGTCAACCTCGGTCTGCTCTATTTCCGAACCAATCCGAATGAAACTCGGCAACAAATCAGAAAATAGGGCAAACTAATGATATGTTTACCCGTGGACGTTGAAGTTCGTACACATAAATTAACCTATACTTTTGGTGTCGGGAACACTTTCGTATCGTGTACACCGAAAACTATAAGGAGTTTGAATTTCAACGCCGAGATGATAATAGATCTATCTATCCTCTATAGTGTGCTCAAATTTGAACATTCTGTGTCAAGTAGTTGTTTAGACCCGATCATAAATGCACGACTACCCCCCTATCCAAAGCAGCTTCGCACGGAGACCGGCCATTTTCCCCTCACTCTCGTGGCAAATGTATGTGACCTACAAATCCCCGCATGACTATTCCGGGCCCGTTCATTGGTCACTTGAAATAGGGCAATGGCGGGCGCGCGCATCTGGTTGTTTTTCTCTCTTTTCCCCTGTAACATCGCAATGGGGGTATTCCGAGGCGAGGTTATCTCGTCTCGGGGTGTTCGCGTCTCAACGGGGGAAAAGAATTTTCAATTGTACGGCATGCTAGATTGAATTAACTTATCTTTTACAGTTGGCATGGTCTAAAGTCATCATAAAAAGCTTTGCAGTTATTAAGTCACGCTACCGACATATATTCTTAAAGATTCCATGTTGTGATACGATGCTATAAATAAAATGGACTCATCCCGACACCCCTTTTTCGCAAAATCGTAATATGTACACCACAATTTTAATTATAACAAAATAACTACGAAATTGGTAGCAAATCTGACTGCAGAATTGATTTCTACACTCAAAAACACATCGGGTAGCCAAGTTTCTCTCGAACACTCCGATTAGTTACCAAGATATCGTCGATTTTCTTACAGAATCTGCTACTGCGTGGTCCACTTTTTAGGAGTATTTTCCTATATGTGGGTCATCCATATTTTGCCGACCTTTACAACCCCATAACTTTTTTATTTATGAACCGATTCTCAAAATTCAAGGAGCATAATTCTTAGGATTGAAAATTCTTTCTTAGGTACCAAAAAAAAAAGGGGGCAAAAGTGAAAATTTAAATTTTCATTGGCATTGCTACGATAGGCCTATTATTTAGCAATGCCAATGAAAATTTAATTTTTCACTTTTAGCCCTTTTTTATTTGGTACATGCTAAGAAAGAATTTTCAATTTTAAGAATTATGCTTCTTGAATTTTAAGAATCGGTTCATAAATGAAAAAAAGTTATGGGGTTGTAAAGGTCGACAAAATATGGATGACCCACCTATATAGGAAAATACTCCTAAAAAGTGGACCACGCAGTAGCAGATTCTGTAAGAAAATCGACGATATCTCGGGAACTAATCCGAGTATTAGAGAGAAACTTGGCTACCCGATGTGTTTTTGGGTGTAGAAATCATTTCTGCAGTCAGATTTGCTACCCATTTCGTAATTTTGTTATAATTAAAATTTTGGTGTACATATTACGATTTTGCGAAAAAGGGGTGTCGGGATTAGTCCATTTTATTTATAGCATCGTGTCACAACATGGGATCTTTAAGAATATATGTCGGCAGCGTGACTAAATAATTGCAAAGCTTTTTATGATGACTTGAAACCATGCCAACCGTAAAAGATAAGTTAATTCAATCTAGCATGCCGTACAATTAAAAATTCTTTTTCCCCGTTGAGACGCGAACACCCCGAGACGAGATAATCTCGCCTCGGAATACCCCCATTGCGATGTTACAGGGGAACAGAGAGAAAAACAACCGGATGCGCGAGCCCGCCATTGCCCTATTTCAAGTGACCAATGAACGGGCCTGGAATAGTCATGCGGGGATTTGTAGGTCACATACATTTGCCGCGGGAGTGAGGGGAAAATGGCTGATCTCCGTGCGAAGCCGCTTTGGATAGGGGGGGGTAGTCGTGCTTTTATGATCGGGTCTAAACAACTACTAGACACGGAACGTTCAAATTTGAGCACACTATAGAGGATAGATAGATCTATTACCATCTCGGCGTTGAAACTCAAACTCCTTATATAGTTTTCGGTGTACCCGATACGAAAGTGTTCCCGACTCCAAAAGTATAGGTTAATTTATGTGTACGAACTTCAACGTCCACATATCATTAGTTTGCCCAATTTTCTAATTAGTTGCCGAGTTTCATTCATATATTGGTCCAGAAATAAAGCAGACAGAGGTTGAGAAAGTTAGTCACCTACACTTCGGCCCAGTCCAAAGATTCACCCGCAAACGGGGACCAAATTTTCGCAGCGCAGGAAAACCCGATTGCCATTGCTACATAGATCTAGATCTAGTAATTATTCAGGTTTAAAATATATGTGTGTCAGTAAGGCACCTTTTGGCTTCATCTGCAATACAAATACTTTTTTAGATATTTTGTGAACTAAAATTTTATTTACAACTCAGCCATCATTATTAAGTAAGGCACGGCTAGCCTGTCTGTCTAGCCGTACGGCTAGTGTTCCAGTCTAGCCGTACTTATTTTAGGCCCTATCTATTAGAAACCTGTAAACTTAGTACACAGGTCTCATTTTTTTTTTCACGTTTAAAATACATGCGCTGTCAGTGTCAGTAAGGCACCCTTTGGTTTAGTCTCAAACAAATACTTTAGGAATTGCAAACTAAAATTTACTTACAATTCAGTAGGCCTATTTTTTGCTGTTTGTCAGTCAAGCCGTCATTAAGTATGGTTAGCCTCTTCCTTCTTAAATTGTCTTTTGTCAGAATGAAGAACACTATTTTATGACACAATGTAAACAAGATGGCTTTTACCATAAATATCAGCCAATGGCGTATTCCTTTAGAATGTTCTATAACTATCCGCTTTCCCCCCCCCGGGGCAGTGCCACTGACTGAAGTGTCTTTAGGCCATTCCCAAAGAGGGGACATTTCTCGTTCAAGTAGAATTGTAAATGGGCCAATTCATGTCACGCTCATAACTGTGCCTGATCTACAACAGAGAACTGCTGCTTTTTCTTTCCTAATCCTTACTATTGTCATTTTCCTCTACTTCTTTTGTATGTTTGTCACTCTCTTGTGACCAGCTATTTCCAGGGTGCCTTGATTGTTAAAGCAGACCTTGTGCTGTTGAAGCTAGAGATGTGAGCAGAGTTAGTCTGATTCCCTGTAAAGACTTCTCTGTTGACACCCACCCCTTGGCGCTCATATGACCTTATGCAGTTGCGAGCGCCGTAAAACCCTCTACTATATACAGTCGAACCTGCGTAAGACGAAATCGCAAGGGAGCGGGGGGAAAATTCCGTCTTGGACGGGAATTTAAAGGCCCAGCTGATGGGATCAAGGATTGCTTGTCCGATCGGCAAGCAGTGGTCAAACATCACACCTCTCAACTGCTATCCTGTCTGATAATGACATGCGTCAGTCTTACTTATCCAATTGACACCAGTTCTTGCCTTCCATAGGACAACTGTTTGACCTATTAAATACAGAAACGTTTGAACATCTCCTTTGCTTCCACCCTTAGCCCCACCCACCAATGCCACCCCCACTGTCATCATTGTAACAACGATAAGAGGAACTCTTTTCTCGGCTCGCCTTAGGATCAGGGCGGCAGGCATCGATCAATCTAATTTCACACCTCTGGCTTCTGGCTACCCAGTAAAGTTTCCGTCGTGGCCAAGGAGTTTCTCCTTGGTAGTGGCTCACTACTCGAGCACTCTCGCGGGCAGTCGTGAGATTTCACACCCACACTACACTGACCATCTGCATCGCTCAGGGCTCACATGATGGGGTCACATCTACCCCCAAATTGCACCCCAACTCCCCTTCCTCGCCCAGCGGCATGGCCATTGCGTTAAGTTTAGAGCCGACGGAACCAAACTTGCGACTCGGCTGAGGGGGCAAAGCATTTTCCGTCTTAGACAGGTGAAACCCTCGGAAGGGAGTGGATTTTTCTTTCCGTTTCTGCGTTCCAAGGACAGGTTTCCGTTTTATACAGGTAATTAAAGAGGAATATATCAAGGGGGAGCGGGGAGATTCCGTTAAGACAGGTTTCCGTTTTATACAGGTTTCCGTTAAGGCAGGTTCGACTGTATATATACATATATTATAATAACTATCCGCTTGTATGCATAGACCATGTCCTCCTGTTTCAGGTTACTTTTTTTATTTATAGTGTGGAAAATGGCTGATGAGGGGTGTTTGCTTACATAGTGACAGTGAAGAGTCCATCGATCATCATCTGCCTATTTAAGTTAGTTTAAAAAGTTTGCGCTTTTTCGGTAGTTCCACCCCGCAATCGTTATTCGCCGGTTTTGGCCCCAAGAGTAGGTGGGTTTCAGGCTGAATTTTACCATAATTTGAGGATTTGCAGTTGTTAGGTTTGATATCTTAGCTCGCCGTGCATCAAACGTCTAGATCTAGGCTCAAATAAGGGGGATGGGAACTACCGAAAAAGCACCAGAGAGTTTAAATAGCTCACCATGTATTATGATTCAATGAGCACAGCTTATGGGCAGTTCGTCAGCACAGATAGCTTGTATTGTAATGTTGTCAGGCTCACCAACTGTCCCAAATTTCTGGGAACTGACTGCATGATTCAGCGGTTGTGATTTTTAGAGGACATTTTAGCCTCCATCCTTTTATCACCCACACTTGTAACACCAAAACCCATCACACCTGGTATCCTTTTGTTCACTGTAACGCAAGCTGATGCTCTGTCATGTTGGGTGTCCTTGATAGATAGGGTTTTTTTTTAAGTTGGCTAGTGTGTGTTGTAATGCTTCACTGCATTTCACTGTAACTCTGATTTGTCTGTCTTTGTTGATAATTATTTTCCACTGGACCCGAGCACATAATTCATTATAAAGTATTACATAGTTGGGGATTTTTTTAATAACCCAGTTGAATGATAGTCTTGTACTAAGTAAATGCAATCTTGAAGAAGGCTACAGACTGGAGATTAACATTAGTGTGTTAAAAGAGTAAGGCTAAGGCTTACTTTGAAGAAGTCAGTCCTTTTATTTTGAGAAATTAAGAGTACTTTTAAAATATAATTTTTAGTTGCTCTGGAGCGTTTGTTTTTTGGTTTTTTTCTTCAAATGAGATTGTCTAGGTTTTTGTTTTTTTTAATAGGCTGATGAAAATATGAATATGAAATTACTTTTACACAAAATTCTCAGCTATTCCATAAGGAAGAGAAAAATAAAAGACCCCTCTAAATTTTCTGAGCCAGTTAGGCTTTTGTGTGACTTTTGTGTTTTGAAATAGACTGAACGGAACAACTTTCCATCTTTTTTTTTTCAGTTTCACCTGAGAGAGTGTTGGAGTATCTTGCCGCCACCATGTATGACACACCGGTGAGCCTGCAGAACTACTGCGTGGATTTCATATGTGATAATTTGTCTGCTCTGTGTGAGGTACAGCCCTTGGCTTCCACAGATTCTAAACAAACCAAAATGGTCTTCAAAGACCCAGAGACTTGCTTCCACTCCACTCTGTCTGATCAGCTCTTGTCTACTTTGAGTGAAAAGGGGAAGCTCAATGATGAATCTCTGTCACTGTTTGATCCGAACGCCACAGTTCTGCGGCATGTTAGCATTCACAACGCCCCTGTGACCAGCAGAGGTCTGCGTATACTTAAAGGTCATCGAGTGTCTCAGTTAGAAGTGACTGGAATCAAGGATGTGACCGTCAATGACGTCATTGGCTGTCTGGGAGAGTGGACTTTGTCAAATCTTAGAATTCTCAACGTGAGCAGAAACACTTTTCTCAATAACTCCAAGTTCTGTGTTGTTGTTTCCCTTTCAAAGCTGAGAAATCTGCACACTCTTAACGTCAGTTTCACAGAGTTCAATCGGCATGGTTTGGAGATCATAGCCGAAGACTTGCCCTGCCTGGAAGTATTGGACATTTCATGTACAGAAATCAATGACATCACACCTTTGCGAAAGTGTAAAAACCGGTTAAAATCTTTGAGCATGTACAATCTACAGTTGCACCGTAACTCTGACCCGATAGGCGTGGTCAGTGAGCTAACTCATTTGGTTCATCTGGACGTGTCCAACGACGCGACTCGTGACACAATCATCACCTCAGTGGCCACAGAGCGGTTCCAAGTCCCTGACTTCTTAGCAAAGCACGACACCTGTCCCAACCTGGTGTCTCTCGACGTGTCTGGAGCCCCTGATGTCGCACCCTGTATAGTTGAGTAAGTGGAACTTTGAACTTGTTTTTATTGTGTCCATTAATGTCCTTTTTTGTTTGTTTTTCTGTGTCTTTGTGTTTTCTTTCTTTCGAAATGGTTGTCGTCATTATGTGTGCTTCTGTGAACAAATGAACAGAAATGTCCTTATATAACTCTCGTCAGTATTGTGTTAGTTTGAGTGTGGGTTCCTCACTGCATGCATGCCATGCACTCCTTTTGTGATCCTCGGGTCTGCCATGAAAACAATTGTTATTTTTATATCAAGATTGGGTGCAGGTACCTTTCCGGAGTTGATATAATTTTGTAAATGTTTTAAGTGATTATAATGTGAGTTGGCTGGTGCTCTGGTACAGTTCTTTTCTTCTTTCCTATCAAACATCTATCGTGTGTCATGGTCCAGAGGTAATGGTGTTTGCCTTTCATTCAATAGGTCCCAGGTTTGAATCCTGACAGCAACAGAAACTATTCTTTTATAATAAAAATGTTCACCTTTCCTGATGTCTAATCATGTTCTGTCGTCTGCTTTCGTTTTCATCCCCCCCCCCCTTACACCCTCCTCTGGAATCCCGACTCTTTCTGCTGCCTTTCTTTACTAAGTGTTACTGCTACTTCTTAGTTCCTTCAAACTGCTGTCTTTCAGTCACACCCCTGATCTTAGGGTAGATAAAATCGAACACCTAGCCTTCTCAGATAAGGACGAACAAATTTTGGAGGTCCTGTGCAAATTGCACAAGTTAAAGGTCCCTTGGTGGTCCTAAAATCGATAACAGTTGGCTTCGGCTGCTACCCGCGCAATCTCAAAATTAATTCCTACCAAACTGAAAATGCTTAATGTGTCCCGCGGGCTCATATGACCTTATGCAGTTGCGAGCGCCGTAAAACACTTACAAAAACAAAACAAAAAACTCTAGTAGTAACACTTCTAACCTTTGGCGTTATATGACAACCTTTTTTTGATGTTGCAAATTCCATAAAACTCTTTCAATAATCCTATCATCCATCTCTCCTCCTCCTTCTCTTTGTTTGTATATCTTGTAATACCTATCTTTCCCCCCTGGTATTATAAATTAATTAATTGTGTTGTGAATGTCTTAAAACTCTAAAAACTCTTACTAAAACTAAATCTTACGAAGCTTTAAAAAAAAATAATAATTTAATAATGATTATGGATTCTGTGGTGTGGTCTAACTTGTATTCTCATTATCATCCTATTATTCTGTTCTTGGCAAAATGTGGCAGTTCTGGTGCTGACAAGGCAGCAGTGACGTCTCTAAAGTCATTGCGGGTGGTCGGAGAGAGGGCACCACTTGTAGGTCTTACATCTTTTCTTTCCTTCTGCTTTTTTACCCTTCACCAAAAATAGCCGTTATTGGTTGAATGTGTTTCTCTTTACTGAGATGAAACAAACTTCAACCAGATATGCACTGGCACAATCAGTGGGAAGACCCGCGGCGACATTTTGGAGAGAGCAACGGAGCATCAATGGACATGTGCGGAGTGCAGGAGAGATGTTGCTTCCTGAAACTATGAACAATGACAAGCAGAGTTGGAAGTCTCCTCCTAAATGATGTAAATTGTGTCAATGGGGGTGTATGAACTCCTACTACTTTAAAACAAATAATATATCGTCGTTATTGTTTGAATGTGCTTGTCTTTACTCAAATGAATCAAGCAAGTGATTAAAATGACTGTGTTCGTCTCTCTTTTTCCCCCAGGACATTTGTGGAGAGACATGAAAAGCTGAACTTTCTGGGTCTGGCTCTGACGTTTATATCCGAGTACGAAATGTTCCAGCCGGAGAGTACCTGGTATAGGGCACATCCAAACTTCAAGGTAAGTGTCCGTGGGATGCAGCAGTGTTGCGCACAGCAGATCTTCCAGTACAGAATGAAATACTAGATCTAGCTGTGTGAGGGATGTCAGTATTTTTTTAATGGACAGTGGGAAATTTTATTGTGCGTAAAGTGAGAAACTTTTACAATGGATTAGGGTGTCGTAGGTAGCCTAGTGGATAGGCTACCGGACTCGTAATCGTGAGGTTGCGGGTTCCGGGGTTGGAGCCTCAGCTCGGTCCGACGTTTTGTCCTTAGGAAAGGCACTTTAGATGAAATTCCCCTTTGGCTCTGTCCTTTCGGAGATGGACGTTAAACTCGGAGGCCTCGCCTCTTTAATATCCTAATAGTGTTGATAGAGGCGTTAACCCATACCATTTGACCATTTTCACAATGGATGTGGGGGGGGGGGGAGATTTTTTTCATCATTATTTACTTGCATTAAGTTACTAGGAGTTTCCCCATGAATTTCATATCGTTCGTGTTTTTATTATTTTTAATCTTTCCTCAGATCTCGGGAGAGGTCACAGAATCTCAAATCATGGAGTCTCTGCGGAGATACCTGCCAAGAAGTGCGTACATGCAGAAGGCTCTCTTCAAGTTGTTCAACTTATCACAGGGTACCGAAGAGCCAAGAGAAGATATCATCAGGGTATTGTGATTACTCTTACCTTTTTTTTTTTTAATAGGCAAAAAAAAATATGCATGACATTGTAGACATGACAATACATCTCGTGTCATCTTATGTCATAAATCTTATCTTGTCTCACCCTGTCTTATCTTATCAACCTTACCTTGTATCCTCTTATCTAATATTATAAACATTATCTTGTGTCTTCATATCTTATAGATCTTATCGTGTGTCATCTAATCTAATATTATAAATCTTATCTTTGTGTCATCTTATCTATCTTTATAAACGTTGTCTTATGTCATCTTATCTATCGTTATAAACGTTGTCTTATGTCATCTTATCTATCTTATAAACCTTATCTTTGTTTCATCTTATCTATATTATAAACATTATCTTATGTCATCTCACCTTATGGTGTCCCCAGCTTGTCTTGCCGGCCATGAAAAGCCACCCCAAGATGCTGTCTGTCCAAATGGCGGCCACGGCCTGCCTGTACAACCTGACGCGTGGCGATGTGGGGCAAAAGATCCACCCGGTGCTGCTCTCCAGGTGTGTGGACCTCACCCTGACCGCCATGGAGAACTTCCCCAATCATCAGCAGGTAACTACCCCCCCCCGCGCGGGGGGGGGGGAACAATAATAACGACAAAACTTTCTTACATTTTTCTCTCTCCCTCCCTCCCGCCCTGTCTCCTCCTCCTCCTCCTCCTCCCCCCCCCCCCCCCTCCTCTCTCTCAGAATTTTTTTTTAAAAATATTTTTATGGGGGGGGGGGGGGGGGTCTGTCTGTCAAGGCGAATAAAGGAGTCCTGAAGCTTGCTCTTATTGTATTTAAAGTTTAAACATGTGGTTGTTTTGCTTTTTCTCCCTGTTCTAAATGAAAGGGACATTAAACCCATGCCTTGCCAGTGCACTGTACAATGTTCCTGGAACTCGTTGAGTTGACACTTATGTCTGTAGGTTTTTACGTTCTGACCTTGTTCTCTTTCAGCTGCAGAAGAATGCATTGCTGACAATCTGCAGCGACAGAATCTTGCAAGATGTGGTAAGTGTTATATGGCGCTGCTGTTAGGAATCGTCTCTCGTGTGTTAACCCCTTGGTGTCGTATGGTTTTTGCAACTTTTACTGTACCCAATTTTCTGGTAAAATTCCGTTCAAAGCTATTGTAGTGCAGTTATAAAATCCCGTATGGTGTACGTAGTAAGTTCCAGGCGATTGCCGTAATCAGCTGATTTTAGGACATACATTGTACGGGAGGACGGCATCTTGGCACTCAATGTTGGTTGTTGGGTGCATGGGATCTGTCACGTAGGGGTAAAAAGTTTTAAAAATTGGAGGTAGGGCTTTTCGACAGCTGTTCCCTCAGTGTGGAACACTCCCCCACCCCCGCCCCTGCATTTAAGAGAGATACCTACTTTGACCACATCTAAATCTGGTTTAAAAACATGTTTGTTTAAGTCCTATTTTAGTAACTAGTTTGATTCTTCTTTCAACAAGTGTGATAAGTAGCTACAGCGATTGTCTTTTTGTGTTTGTGTTCTTTTGTTAGATAGCAGGTGTACATGTATTTGAAAGGACTGAGCGAAGCTACACTCCTCCGTCTATATGTTTATGTCAGTTCTTTGTCTTCAGCCGAGGTACATGTTGTAAAGTAGTCAAGTTGTACCTAAAAAATCTGGTTTGTCAAACCATAGAAGTCAATTCAGGGGTCATTGTGTCAATGTTTTGTGTTGACTCTAAATGATTTTTATTTCTTGTATTTTTCGTGTGTGTATTTCAGAATTTTGACCGATTCCGGTGTTCCCGGCTGGTGATGGACTGTATGTGTCAGTTTGACGATGCCTCCATGAACCGAATGTCCGTGGCCATCTGTTCTATTCTGGCCGCCAAGGTATTACCATTGATCTTGTGAGTGGTTGGTAGGTGCTCTCATGTGATTTGCTCCTTCTTTCCAATCAAACATCTGTCGTCCTTATCTCCTTCTATTTTTTGTGGATGACACTCTCTTCTGACACCTCTCGTCTTCGGGGCTTTTTGGGCATTTGGAGTTATTGATATCTTAGATTTTGTGGTCTTGCTTGTGATGGAAAAAAAATACCCACCTGTCTTGAATAGAAGTCGAAGAGAGAAAAGGAGGTGAGGGGTCCCCTGGTTTAAGAAGAAAAGTTAATGGAGTCCTTGAAAATTACAAGTTTACTTTTTTGATTATTTTTAAAAAACTAAATCCACTCAGAAATGTGTTTTTAGATCGAAATAAAAGGTTACAATTACCCTACAAGTGGAAGACTATTTTTTTTTCGATTTCCTGATGTAAACGAGTGCCTGGGAACCAAAAAGAAACCTAGTGAACCATATTCTCCTTTGACTGACAGATCTCTACGGAGCAGACAACCATTCTGGGCGCCAAAGCGCGCTACATGAAGAAACTTCTGATGCTGGTGGAGGAGCGGCTGGTCAACCAGGAACTGGACATCACTTTGAGGTTCACACTCAGCGCTCTCTGGAACTTGACCGGTAAGCAGACCTGCTCAATATTCCGAAAAATCGAAGCTCTCATAATGATTTTTACCTGTAGGAAAACGCCATGGGATTTGCATAAAATCCTGGGGGTTTTGGGGTTTTTTAAAATTTCGTTTTCATTGGTCATGTGCATCTTATCATAAATCACGTGGAGGTTTATTTGAGTTTTATTTGCATTGTTTGCGCAACTTACCATTAATGATGTGAAAATACATGTTTGTGTTGTATTTATTTACATGTATTTGCAATGTGCATTTATTTGCAATGGTCAGTTTCTTTTAGAATCTAGCTGAAGCTATTCTGTTGGATGATATGATTGGAATTGTGCAGTCAAAACTGTCCAAGACAGCCACCCAATATCAAGGAGAAAAATTGCAGTTGTAGACAGGTGGTCGTCTTTACAGCATGTCATAATAGTGTTGGGTTTTTTTAAGCTCAAGTGGGAAATTTATTGTGGCCAAGTTGGGTTTGTTTTTTTAACGCAAGGGGGAAATTTCGTGTGACCTTTTGTACATGTGATTGTCTCATACAGATGGCTTTTAGAGCAGGCTCCACTGTATTTAGAATTTTCTTTCGAATCTATCTTCAATGTTCTTCACTTTACTCGCACAAGCAAAACAAGTTTCTCATTGTTTTTTCCTTCAGACGAGGCTCCTTCCACATGCAATGTGTTCCTGATGGAGGGGGGTCTGGAGCTGTTCATGAAACTGTTGGAGTTGACCGATGGTCAAGGAACAGACAACCACGTGCAGGTGGAGACCAAAATCCTGGGGCTGCTGGTGAGTGAGCCACTCCGTCCTCGCTGGGGAAGTCCTTGCATTCTTGTGCTGTCCTAAATTGTGTCGATGGGGGTCTAATAAACGCCTGCATTAAAAAAGAAATGCACTGGTAGCTCTATATGTTCATCCAATGAAGTTTGAACAAATTGACGCAATTAGTCACAAATGTCATGGAACAGTGTCTTTCTACTTTTTTGTACATTATTTGTTGCAGATCAAAGAGAAAATTGTTTTGGTGTGGTCTGCTTCTCCTACTCCATTTCAGCGTGTCTGTTGTCCTTGTATCTTCTGGATTGCCAGTTTTGTTCTGTTGCAAGTTTGGGGGGGAGATTTTGCACCGTACAAGAACTTGGGAATTCAAAAGCAAGTATGACTATGACCGAATATGTCAGCCTGATATTTCTTATCTCTCTTTTCAGAATAACATTGCAGAAGTGAAGAACCTGAGGCACAAACTGATGCGAGAAGAATTCGTCATGTTGATCAAGTAAGTTTATTTGTAACCCCGTTAAACTTGTTTAGTAGCGTCTCTGGTGTAGTGCTCGGGCACTTCGCTATTGCATGCAGGGACCCGCGTTCATTTCGCGAGCGGGGATAATTTTTATCGAGTATCTCGGTCTTTTTTTTCTTGGACGTTGTATTCCTCTTGGCTGGTGTTGGTCCTGACAGGCAGGGTTAGAAGCCTGTCTCCTAAATGGTCTAAATTGTGGCGATAGGGGTGTAAAAACACCTAAATTAAGATTTTTTGAATTTATTGAAACTTAGTTTTATTTTTCAATTTTTTTTCTTCCTTCCTTCAGATGAAGTAATGTGTTAATAGTGTGAGGTTAGGGTTTTATGTGATTGTGCAAACTGTGGAAGGTGCCGGAGATGGAGGAGAATACAGCAGAAAAGGTTGGAAAAAAGCCTCAAAGCAAGAAATTGATGAATTGAGACAAGAAATGGAAAATGTATGAAGTGGACACAAGAAATTTAAGAATGTCCTGTATTTTTTTTTTCTATAGCTCAATTACTTTTGTGTTTGCTATTGGAAAGTTGGCTGCCATGTATCGGTTTCTGATCTGGCTCTTGTATATATATAATGGTTGTGTTTCCCTGTTTCAGACGCATGTTGCACGGCGTGCATATAGACGTCAGCTACTTTGCTGCGGGGATCCTCGCACACCTATGCAGCGACGGTGATACAGCCTGGAGAAACATCGCTGGCCTGGATAGATATGATATCCTGGAAGATTTGGTAAGACAAACAGCCATGTTCATAAGATTTTTTTTGGGGTGGGGGGGGGGGTGAAGATGGCAGAGAATATCATCGCCTATGAGATGAAATGACTCCGAAAATATTGTAATGTCACAAGGAAAGACTGCATAAGGAATGAGACTGTCAAAATTCATGAAAATGACACCGGTTATGGAACATCACAGAATTAACTCGCTCACCGCCGTTGCGCACCTGTGTCGGTCAGTAGGCGACAACCGCTCACCGCCGCTACTGCACCTGTGTCGGTCGCGTATTTTTTCTCTTTATTTCTACTAATAGCCGACACACAAGCGACAAAGGCATAGCCCTATTACTAGAGTAACATCCTTTTGACCACTCAGAGCAGTTTCACTTTATTAGAATGATTTCCCTTGAAGTTCTGCCTATTTTTGGAACGGGAGTTCCCTTTGTCCTACTTCTGGGTTTTGTTTTGAACGTTGGGCGGCCGAAATCGACCAAACGCTAACATGATGCTCATGCTGATATTATGTATTGAAAATGGCTCCTAGTTTTAGAGATTCTGAATCCATATGATTCAAAGAACTCTGATTCAGATGATGAAGTGCAAAATAATGGAAGTGATGGTAGTTTGAGATGAGAGAAAGAGGTAGATCACCTGTTAGCAGCAGTGGGCTAGTCTGTAAAGCTCAACATCTCCTACTAAAGCTGGCCAATTTTCATAAATCTAACATAAATAGCATAGCTGCCACTTTCCCGCTAAATAGCGGAAACTCCGCTTCATCTAGTTTTCCCCGCAACTTTCCTCCTTCCTCCGCTGGACCGCTCTTGGTCGCAAATTTCATACTTTTTTTCCCCCGCGGAAAACACCGAACCAGGAGAGGGACGAAAACGCGGCTTGCGCATGTTCGCCCGTAGCTTTCTACTTCCGTTCTTCTAGCCCCAGCGCTAGTTTCACATTGTTTATTGTTGTGGAACAGCACAGTGTCGATCGGGCATCGGGACGTTAGCGCGCCGAGTTGTCATTGAAATTGGCGGATATTCGAGAGAAATTGATTCAGAATGCAAAAATAAAAGGAGCTGGAATGAGAAAGAAGCAGCCGGTGTGCGACTTGAAAAGTTCATTAGAAAATTGAACTAGACGTTTTTTGGGAAAGAAATCGCGGCACTCCTGAACAATTGCGGTCCCGTTTGTTTACATGGCGGCTGTTGTGGCTGCTGCGGAAGTGAATCAAGATCTAGAAAATCTATCTCTAGATATAATCTAGATCTACACATATTTAGATATGTCTAGTCTAGATCTAGATTAGATAGCCTAGGCTATAATTTTAATTCAGTTTAGATCTCTAAATAAGAAACACACTACAGGGGCACTAAGTGCAAACGGGACCGCAATTGGACAGGAGTGCCTGCATCCTTGATCCGATACTGCTCTACGTCTATGTATGTACAAGTTTAAAGTGAAAGAAATCTTTTTATGAGACACCAGCTGGCAAAAAACACTGGATTTTTAGTCAGCAAGTCCAAACTGTGTCAAATTGACTCGAATGCTTGTAAGTCAACTTACTGCCTTTATGTTTTTTTGTCAAATACATTTTAATTCAGTTGCCTATGGTTAGCAATATGACAGTTTTCCCTTCCAAAACTGTAGGCTAGATTTTCCAGTATATATTGCCTCTGGATCTCACTGGTTTCGGAAAGCGCGCGTACGCCTTCACATGAATTTCCTCCTTTTTTAAAATTTCTGAGTGGCAGCTATGAAATAGGTACAGAGTAACTGAATTTTGAAAAAGGTTAAAAAAAAAAAAAAAAAGCTGGCAGGCAGCAGCTTGGTCTGAACTATGGCGCTGGCAGCAAGTGAGTTAAGTGATTTGGCCACCTGATTTCCATTTCATTTCCATCAAAATTCTCTGTTACTCTCTTATAATACCTCTAATCTTCAGCACTTGCACAACCTATTTGGGTTGCTTCTAATGCTAGTGCCGTAAAACTCTTATTTAAAAAAAACTAATGTGTTTGTGATATATATTTTGTATATATGTGTATATATCTCTCTCTCTCTCTATATATATATCTATATATATATATATATATATATATATATATATATATATATATATATATATATATATGTGTGTGTGTGTGAATTGATTTCTGACTTGTCTGGTTGTGATTTCAGCGGTCGGTGGTGTCGGGCTGGGATCAACCCAAGTCAGAGATGGTTGCCTACAGGTAAGGACTCACGTCTGTTGTACCACCCACCCACTGAAAAAATATACATCCCAAAAAACCCTGTATTTGGTTTACTTTTTCTTTTGTCAGCCCCGTTCCTATTCATTGGATATGCTGAGCAAGTCTGATTGACATATTCAGGAATTTTGTTCTCATTTTCATTGTGACTCTTTCTGGAATCTCTTTTCATATTCTAAATGACGAAAATGGGGAATGTGTTTTCAAGTTCTAAATACCGGCATCTGTGGTTTAGCGGTTAGAAAATTCATGTCGCACGCAGGAGATCGGAGTTTGATTCCTGAGTTGGGAGAAATGTTAATATCGGTCTTTCTGCTAGGATGTTGTGTCCCTCTTTGTCCGAATTGGCCCTGACAGGGAGGGTCGGAAACCCAACTCTTTAATGATCTAAATTGTGTTGATGAAGGTGCAAAAACACCTTCATTTTAAAAAAATAAAGAATTGTAAATATGACAAATTCAAGAAACATGTCATCAAGCAAAGAATCAAATTAACCGAAAGATTGATCAACATCGACATAGTTGTATCTCTTTTTGTTATTTTATTTGTTGGACAAATTGACTCTTAACAGTAATTACCTCATTATTGCATTTAACTCATAATTTATTAATATTTAGTGGTTGGGTGGCAGATACTGTGGTGTTGTTTGCTCCTTTTTACCTGTTAAACACCTATAATGCGGGTGGTTGGAGGGTACTGCTGGTCGGTCCTACTTCTTTACTTTCCCTCTGTTGTTGTTTCTGTCTGTCTGTCTTACTTTTTTCCCCAGCACTAAATGACCATTATTGTGTCGATGTGCTTCTCTTTACTCAAACAAACACCTATTGTCCTCATCCTGATCTCTCCTCCTTTTATCTGTATATTGGCCTTAAGTAACACCTCTTATCTTCTTCGCCTATGTGATCTTTTTGTATTTCAAATGCTTTAATACTCTAACTAAAACTGAACTTTCCAATATTTAGTCCCAAATCAGGGCACGTGACAAAGGTGAAAAACCATTCAGGAATGTGTTGTTGTGTTGTAAATGACGTGACGGTGAAGTGACCCGGCTGTTGTGATTTCCCCAGGTCGTTCAGCCCGTTCTTCCCGCTCCTCCAAAGCCTGGACCCTCCGATACAGCTGTGGGCCGTCTGGGCCATCCACCACGTCTGCTCCAAGAACGGTACGTGTACGTCACATCACTGCTGGCCGCAGTGTGGCGGCGTGGGCAAATTGGGCGCTCGTCAAAATAAGCATGTGTCTCAATATTCCGCTATTTAGCAGATTTCCGCTTCCACCATTTCCTCCCACTAAACACCGCTGCCACTTCTCTTTTACTTAAAATTATCTTCCGAACCTGTCAAACTGGTATGAAATAACCTTGCTTTGATGGGGGGTTTTTCAGCATTCTCGGGTTAAACAGTATAATAATGGGTGTCTCTGTCAGGATCACGCGGAAAGTTCCCCCTTTTTTTCAAAATTCTGAATTGAGACCCATGAATAAGGACGTACGTTGTCTTATTGTTTCAAGCGCCGTAAAACGCACACCCAAAAAAAAAGACAAATAGATCTAAACAAACTTTAAGATAATACCAATAACTCCACGTGTCCAAAGACTGACGAGCGCCTGGTTCCACCGCGTCTCGCCACACAGGAGGCACTCTTAACTCATCAGCCCTGTGTTCTAGTTCTTCACTTTTGTTGTCCGTTCTTGTCACAGGCGGTTGGAGGGTGGTACTGGTAGGTCCCACTTTTCTTTCCCCTTGTTGTTTTTGTCTGTGTGGATGGTTGGAAGGTGTGCCACTGGTAGGTCCTACTTCTTTTCATTCCCCTTGTTGTTGTCTCTGTCTGTATGGGTGGTTGGAGGGTGTCACTGGTTGATCCTACTTCTTTTCTTTCCCCTTGTTGTTTCTGTGTGTGGGGGGGGGGGGTGGTTAGAGGGTGTCACTGGTAGGTCCTACTTCTTTTCTTTCCCCTTGTTGTTGTCTCTGTCTGTGTGGATGGTTGGAGGGTGACACTGGTTGATCCTACGTCTTTTCTTTCCCCTTGTTGTTGTTTCTGTGTGTGTGGGGGGGTGGTTAGAGGGTGTCACTGGTAGGTCCTACTTCTTTTCTTTCCCCTTGTTGTTGTCTCTGTCTGTGTGGATGGTTGGAGGGTGACACTGGTTGATCCTACTTCTTTTCTTTCCCCTTGTTGTTTCTGTCTGTATGGGTGGTTGGAGGGTGTCACTGGTTGATCCTACTTCTTTTCTTTCCCCTTGTTGTTGTTTCTGTGTGTGTGGGGGGGGTGGTTGGAGGGTGTCACTGGTTGATCCTACTTCTTTTCTTTCCCCTTGTTGTTGTTTTTGTGTGTGTGGAGGGGTGGTTAGAGGGTGTCACTGGTAGGTCCTACTTCTTTTCTTTCCCTTTGTTGTCTCTGTCTGTGTGGATGGTTGGAGGGTGACACTGGTTGGTCCTACTTCTTTTCTTTCCCCTTGTTGTTTCTGTCTGTGTGGATGGTTGGAGGGTGTCACTGGTAGGTCCTACTTCTTTTCTTTCCCCTGTTGTTTCTGTTCTATCTGTCTTGCTCTGTACAACCGTTATTGTGTGGATGTTCTTCTCTCTTAACTCGTACTCTCCTCACGTTCCATCTCACGTGGGTGGATAGTTGGCGGGTGCTCTGGTGTGGTTTGCTCCTTCTTTCCTGTTGATCATCTATCTTCTCTGTCTCTCCTCCTTTTGTCCTTTCAAACATCTCCGTCATTCCCATGAAACAACTATAATCCTTAAATCTCTCCTCCCTCTTTCCTTTCAAACGGCTATCATCTCTATCTCTCCTCCTTCTTTCCTATCAAACATCTCCTTCTTTCCTTTCAAACATCTATCATCTCTGTCTCTCCTCCTTTCCTATCAAACATCTATCATCTCTATCTCTCCTCCTTCTCTCCTATCAAACATCTGTCATCTCTGTCTCTCCTCCTTCTTTCCTATTGATCAACTATCATCTCCATCTCTCCTCCACCAGGCAAGAGGTACCTGACCCTCCTGGACAGCGAAGGCGGGCCCGAGCACGTCCAGCGACTCATGAACGGCCGCTGCGACTCGAAAGTGCGCGGAATCTGCGAAGAAATACTCACCAAACTGGAGGAGCATAAGGGGAGACCACCCAGACAGCAGGACACTGACGACATGGAGTTCTGAACTCCGTGGGGGGGTGACTTTTTTTTTTCTCCCGATGTGCATCTTCTCCTTGCAAAACAAAGTAATGTGATATTTATCGTTCATGTTTGATGACAAGAGAAGTCGGGTGGTAGCGGAGTGTCAGTATGCCAGTGTTTGTTGGTTCTGTTTGTGCCGTCAGGAGTGTCCGGCCCCCAGTAGCCTGTGGTGGACGGGATGGAATGGATTGTCACGCATACACACACACACACATATAAATAAATATATATGTACATACATACATACAGGCGCGCGTGTGGGCACGCCCACACACATACACACACACACACTCTTTGTCTTTGGTGGATTGTCGCACCGCTGGCTTGTGACATGGTGTAGAGAACGCAGAAGTTATTACTTTAACTTTTTACTCTAAGCTGGCTGATGGGCTGGGGTTAGTGAGCATTTATTTTCCACAAATGTAAAGAGCGAATCTTCATTAACGATACAGTGTGCTGGAAGCTTTTTACCCGAGGAACGACTGTGGATGTTTGCGGAAATTAAATGCTCGTAAAAAAATTGTCTGTAGCTTTGACGAAAATAAGATGCTCATTAAAAAAAACGGAATGTTTTATGACACGTGCTGTTGTTGTTTCAGTTCTTGTACATATATCCTCTGTACGTTGAACGTAAGCTGTGTGCTCTTATTATAAATATATTATTTTTTGTTTATGTAAGCCCTCACTGTGTGTGAAACATACAGGTGTGAGATTTTTCTGGAAAAATAGGGCTGTGGAGATTTCTTGTAGAGAGTTGTATGTTGAGGTTTGCCATACTTTGGGGGAATGGAAATTGTTTTTCTTGTATGAAGTTTTTGAGGTGGAGTTTTCTGTCGTTTGATGTTGGTGTGTGGGTTGTGGAGGGAAAGACAATATATGTGGTGTAGTAGTTAGGCTCTTTGCCTTTGCACGCAGAAGATGTGGGTTTGATTCATGTATGTGGGGGAGGTTGGGGTTTTTGGGTATTGTTTTTTTTTTAACCCGAGTATTTCTGTCTGTCTCCTAGGTTATTGTATCCCTTCTAGGTTAGGTCGGCCCTGACAGGCAGGGTCTAAGTAGCCAGCCTTGTAAATAATCTAAATTATGTTGATTGAGGCATAAAAAAAGATATTTATTAAAGTTACAATTAAGTTTTGTAAGGCTAGTTTGATGGCATCACGCTTCCTGTTGATTTTTTTTAGGTAAGTATTAAACAAAGGTGCCGTGCTGTTCCAGATAAATCCAGAATACTAAAATTGTCCAGATTTTGCTCATTGTTGTTCAAAAATATTCTTGACAGTAGATGCACACAGTGATCGGTAAATTTTGAGTCTCCGCTTGTGTTTCCACAGGGTCTCAAAAGTTCTGGATCGTTGTTTGGGTTTTTTTCTGTATCCAGTTGGCAACTCCGCGATGATTAAAATACTGAAGTCTGGGACAATATTTTTATAACCTTTTTGTTCCCCATTTGTCGTGTTTTGAGAGCGGGTTTTTTTTTGTTTTTTTTCCTCCCAGAAGAATTTGACCGGCTTGAATGAATGGCCTTGCCGTGTATTATGATGGTGTGATGAAAGCCAGAAAATAAAGCGCATATATATATTTTTTTTTTTTTTTTTTTTTTTAAATTCTACCTGTTTACTACTGAAGTACGGCTTCGTTAACAATGCTCAAACTGTGAAGTAGCAGCTGAAATAATTTTTCTCCCCACCAAAAGAGTCAAACTTTTTATTGTCCTTACTTAAAGCTACAGTTGGGTGGTTGGCGGGTGCTCTGGTGTGGTTTGCTCCTTCTTTCCTACCAAACATCTATCATCCTGATCCCTCCTCCTTTTTTTGTTTTTGTTACTCTCTTGTAACACCTCTAATCTTTGGCGCTTATATGACCTACTTGTGTTGCAAGTGGCGTAAAACTCTTACTATAACTAAAGCTACGCTGCATGCCATCTCATTCAGTAGAGGAAAACCTCTGTACAGGTATAATGTACACGACATAAAAGTACCACCGGCTATAACCTTCACTTTCTGAGGCCCCAAGTTTCATGTAGTACTTTTACTCTCTTTAGCTACTATGTACCTCGGCTAAGACGTTCAAAGGGAGTCCGTCATGCCGAGGTTCTATTGTATTTGTAACAAAATGGCACCCTTATCATTTAGCTCATGTCTTGACGTAACTTTCAGATTTTACTTCCCCTCTCTCACCCCCCCCCCCCCTCTCTCTTTCTCTCTCTCTCTCTCTCCTTCCCTCCCCCCTCTCTCTTTCTCTCTCTCTCTCTCTCTCTCTCTGTCTATCTTTCTCTCTCTCTCTTTCTCTCTCTCTCTCTCTTTCACCCTCTCCCTCTCACCCCCCCCCATCCTGAAGAATGAAAGACAAGAAGAAACAATGTGTGTGTGGGCAGTTGATGCACGTATGTTCCTCTGTGAGATTATGGGTTTAATGAGGAAAACTTTGTCACTTACACGATGTGTGTAGGTCTGACTTTTTTGTTTGGTTGGGGGTTTGTTTTTTTTAATGTATTTTGAGGGGGGGGGGGGTATTTTTTTCGTTTTATTTAGTTGTTGCACGTAAAATATTGTACGAAATGTGCCATTAGTATTAATAGTAATTGTATAAATAATGTTACAACCGCATTACTTCTCTGGTGTGGTTTTTTTTTCCAAAATAACTTATTGCTCTTTTCCAACACCCCTACATTTGTACCTTTTTCCTTCGGCCATCCTCTTTGCATTCTGGGAAAGAAGAAGATGGTTATCCAGAGAAGCTGTCCTCTGGTTTTACAAATGGGTAAAAAGTAAAGTTTAACCCCACTCCTAGTGAGTCTTATGGCTGTGACCCCTTGGCGATTGTGAATATTGCACACTGGGTCATGCAGTAAGACTTGGGATGGGGGGGGGGGGGTGTTGTGTTGCTATACTTTACCTTCACCACCTCTAAATGGATGTCAGATTGTGTCATTGATTATTTTGCTCTGTACATGATGCCACTCTGTGAATGTCTTGTCCTGATTTTTCTGTGTTTATGTCTTAAGGGACGGGGGGGAGTGTGCGTTTGTGAACAAAGTGTTACCTGTGAACTGGAAACAAAAATGATACATGTATTGTATATGTACATGATGATTAAACTTTGTCCATGAACACACGTGTTTTTCTCCTTCTGACTGACTGGCGTCTGTAATTTGTAATGTAGAGGTTAGGCGCTTCGCCTTCGCTTATGCCGGAGTCCTGATTTTGTTGCCTGAATGCTCCTGAGTATCTCGATTTTTCTGCTAGGATGTTGTATCCCTCTCAGGCTAGGTTGCTCCTGACAGGCAGGGTCGAAGCCGGCTTCCGGCTTCCAAATTATTTAAAGTGTGTCAAAGGGGGCGTAAAAGACGCCTGCATTATTCAAAAGAAACAGAATTTACCCTTCTGTTGGTTTTTTGTCTTGGGTAGGTTGGAGGGCACCACCATATATCCTACATCCTTGGTTTCCCTTTGTTGTGTCCGTGTGTGTCAGTCTTCTTTTTCCCTGCACTACGTTATGACCATTGTTGTGGATGTGCTTGGTTGTACATGTATTCACTCTCAGGGACTCTGGCATGAATACCTTTAGTGTCGGCAGCCAGTGGGTGGTTGGTGGGTGCTCTGGTGTGGTTTGCTTCTTCTTTCCTATCAAACATCTATCGTCCTTATCTCCCCTCCTTCTATTATGTGTTTTTTACTCTCTTGTAACACCTCTAATCTTCGGCACTTATATTATATGACTTATTGTGTTGCAAGTGCCGTAAAACACTTACTAAAACTAAAAATAGTGCTGGCAGCGCTACTGACAGAAGTATTTTTAGGCCATTCCCAAAGGGAGGGGGGGGGGGGGACATTGATAATTATGTTCTTCTAAGCAGTAGAAAATAATTGGAAATGGGCTGATTCATCAGTCATGCTCATAACTATCTATATTCCTGAACTGCAACAGGGAACTGCTGCTTTTTCTTTCCTAATCCTTACTATCGTCATTTTTTCCTCTACTTCTTTTGTATGTTTGTCGCACTCTTCTTGTGACCCGCTATTTCCGGGGTGCCTTGATAGTCGAAGCAGACTTTGTGCTGTTGAAGTTAGAGAGGTGAGCAGAGTAAGCCTGATTCCCTGTAAGGACTTCTCTGTTGACATCCACCCCTTTGTGCTCATATGACCTTATCTGTCCCTGTGGTTTTATGCTCCCCGCATAAATTAGCAAAATTTGATCATTTTTTGCATACTTTCTGATTATTTTCCTTAAATCATTCTTTTTTTAAATTAACAGAATCGCACAATTCCACATTTTTGGGCTCAGTTTGCATAATTTCAGAATTTATCTTGCATAAAACGACGGGGACAGCCTTATGCAGTTGTGAGCGCCGTAAAACCTTACTAAAACAAACAAGGATGTCTCAGCTCAAGAATTAATCACACAATAGATACACATGTACTCAGTCAGGTCTTGAACCAAGAATTTATTACACAATAGATGTACTTAGGTCTTGACACTAGAATTAATCACACAATAGATGAATAGATGTACTTGAGTCTTGACACAAGAATTAATCACACAATAGATGTACTTAGGTCTTGACACTAGAATTAATCACACAATAGATGTACTTGAGTCTTGACACAAAAATTAATCAATTAATCACACAATAGATGTACTTAGGTCTTGACACGAGAATTAATCAATAAATCACACAACATATGTACTCAGGTCTTGACACAAGAATGTATTGCACCATAGATAGATGTACTTGAGTCTTGACACAAGAATTCACGTGCCTCTTCTGTCACACCTAAGTGTCCAGGACTAAATTCTGATGAGTCGCCCAGTATCAGGCTTGGACAATAAACTATACCATGAAAAAACGTGGGGTGTCAGGCTTTTCATTTTTGTTTTTCTCAAAATGCCAGAAAGTGACATCCTCTGTGTTCTCCTTGTGCTCTGCTATTTGGTAATTTCTCAAGAAACTATCCGTTTGTTGTCTCTTTCTGTCTGTCTATCTGTCTGTCTGTCTTACTTTTCTTTCCCCCAAGCACTAAAGGAACGTTATAGTGTCTCTTTGCTTAAACTAAAGCTAAATGCTGTTTTCAACCAAAATAAAATACATGTACAAGCTTATGTTTTAAAGTAAGTTACTGTACATGTGTAGATCGTAGGAAGCAAAGGAGTAGATCAAAATCAGCTGTTTGGTGGGGTGGTTGCTTCATTAAAGTTGAGTTTGTGAAATACATCATACGATGGTTTGAACACGGCATTTTCCCTTTGGTCGATGAATCAGCTTTTGTGTGGACTCATAGGGGTTATCTCCTGGAGTCGAGCTTTTGTCGAATTGCGTCTGTACAGCCTACTTGATTTATAATAATAGACAGGGGCGGTACCAGGTGAGAGCCAAAAGCGCCCTGGCCCCCCTTCTTAATTTTATCCTCTCTTATCCGTCCTCAATAGCTCGTACGTTGCTTACAGTTTTGTACGTTTTCCAGTTTCATGAAAATAACGACAAACGCGCCCAATACGCCTACCACAGTGCAGTCAGGAGTGTCTAGCCCGCGCTGGTTTATCAGCGCAATGTCTCAGAGGTCTCTGACCTAGCGTCAGGCA